CTTAATTAGCGTACCAGGTGCGTGCTTACACTATATTTTATACAACCTCGAACTCTACCTGTTTCCGTCTTTTTCATTTTTGCACACTACTACTTACGCGCAAAAATCACCAAATTAAGTCTGGTATAACAGTAAGATGCACAAAACAAACAGATGGACAAAAATAGACATGTAGAAAGCTTTCAGTTTCCTTTTTTAAAAGCTTCCCGTGTACAAGCTTTCAGTTTCCTTTCTTACAAGCTTCCTTCCCCTTTTCTTCCCTCTCAACCTTCTCCCCCTTCTTTTCTCCCTCTTGCTTGTTCCCCCCTTCCCCACCGACGGTTGTTGGTGCAGACTTCGCTGGCGTCAAATATATATTGTTGTAAACTGAAAGCTTGTACATGTCTGTTTTCGTCCATCTGTTTGTTTTGTGCTTTCTTACTGTTACATCTGTCCCAACACGCTCGTCAAAGTCTTCCTAAGACTGGTAGATTACTTAAAGTGTGTGCAAAAGCTATCCACAGACCCATAATTTTTGCCAGGCAGGTCATTGCATTTATCACTTAACTCGTATTAAAATTATTTCTTATGCGAGTTAGTTTTTAACCTCGGCATTCTCGTATTATGACTCCAGCACCACTACTACGTAGGGTTTACTGAACTCAACATCTAAACATGAGTGTGAATTTTGTGTTTTCCAGTCTCGTGGTTTGGCTCAAGATGACTACCCAGCTACCTAAATGAGACACCTGACCGACCAAGGAATAGTTCATTTGTTTTGATTTTTGAGCTAATATTCCTCAAGCTAGAATTTTGGAAACCCGAGTTTTCACGTCATCACGTTTTCCTAGAAATCCACAAAGAACCAAACACGTGCATGACAAAAGGGCCGGCCCGTCATATAATTGTGATCACAATGAAATATGGGTAATCGAACTCCGAAATTTCCGATAACGGCGCACAGCCAATTTTATATTTTTCAGCGCGTCGGTTCTTCTGTTGTGCATGTGTCTCTCCATTTGACTGAGGAAGATTTTCGCGTTTTTTTCTGCCCACATTTGCTGGAGACGTGAGCCCGGAGCGTAGGCAACTCGACCCCTTGCACGAGAACTGGCGCAGCCGTGTGCGTTCCAAAGAAAGCTCATGGAAAGAAAAACAAGCAAAGGACCAGGGATGTCACATTTATGATATAGAAAAATACCCAATAAATTGAAGCGCCACCATACACGATTTCTTGCACTGATGTACAGGCCTGGAAGGCGATCCCCCCGCCATCTCTTGGTTCAGAATCACATTAACCAAGGGTGGGGTTGCACCTTAAGGACCCCAAGCTAGCGGTTGTACCGCACTGGCTAAATTGCTCATCTACACCGAGTGACTCGTCGAAACTTTGAAATGGCTGACCGACTACACGCTGTATAAATATCCACACAGCCCCAATTATTGTCTCGGTACAGTTTTCAATGAACAAAACTGTACTGGGATAGAAACAACCATCCACATAACTATTTCTTTGGTCGGTGAAAGGTTGAGCAAATTGCAAAGAGGTGGGAAGAGCTCCCACTCTACGCTTAACCTCTCACGGACTAATAACAAAAAAATCTGACTTTGCCTAACGAGAATTTACACGCGAATTATTTTGCTTATTTTGCTGTCTAGATCATCTTTAAACATTTGGTTTTACATCTTGTCTGTTCCAGGTAACGTCTCGACGTTAAGTAATCTTGACGGGTAATCACAAAAAGAGGCGAGAAATGACTTTTTTCCCTCGGCTTCTGGTTTCAAGAATAAAGCAGTTCGTCAAAATAATATGGTATTCATTATATTTTGTCTGGAATTCCACAGAAAGACAACACAGTGACATTGGGCCCTAAACTCGTCAAACACAAAGTTGGAGCCGAAAGTTGGCGGAGCGTGTCGAATGGACGTCGGCGAAAAAAGCGCGAAGTCATCGTCGCGATAGGCCAATCGGTGGGCTCCGTCAACTTCGGCTTTGTGTTTGACGAGTTCAGAGGCCCTATACTTTGTTTCATATTATACCTGACTGCAGCTGAGGCTACCATCGGATAGACCCGATCAAGCAGTGCCTAAAGTGCATAGTCACGGCGTTCGTTTTTTTCATTTTCTTGTCGGTTTGCAATTGCAGGCTAAACCAAACACGAATGGAAACAAAAGTGTAATATCACAACGGATTTACTCGGCTTCATTGGTTTAGTTGGTAATGGCAAACGCACAACAATGATTAGCACAGATGATTTACTTTTGAAGCTATTTGATTGGCCCTATTGATCGTAGCATCGGCTGCGTTATCTGGTGTGCGAAAAACTCGCAGATTTCGTTCAAATTCAAGTATTTCGATTTCCAAGTTTTTCTCCAAAGTACATTAGGCAAGAGTAGATAACCGATACGTTGCATCGAACAAGATGGGTGTGTAGCGGACGCATCAATCGGAAATATATACTGAAAGGCTGGATGCAATTCCTAAAATTCGTAATCTAAAGAACAGTTGACGGCCTTGCTCGCAGAAAAGGGGCAGCTGTAGGTTTCTCTGAAGTCGCGAAGGCTCGTAAGCACGTCGTCTACCGAATTCGTTCCCCTCCACCCGGCGCAGTTTTGTGTGGCGAACTTCATGCAGAACATCTGTGCCCTGGACAGACGGTTGTGGCCCCAGACGTACTGAGGCAGGTGCCAGGGCCTGCCAACCGCTCGCACGGATGCGGACGCCGATTTGATGGACAAGCGGGCCTTGGCCTGCAAAGTGCGGCCCCGCGAGATCTCGACGAAGAACAAGCGATTTGCTCTCGTATACTGGAGGCACTTTCCTCAGACCAGCCGCCGAAGTCATACACGAGACACCACATCTCGAAAGCCATCTCCACGCCCACCGTATCCGCGTTGATGGCGGGATCCACGTCGTTGCCGAACCTGAACGAGGGGTAGGCTAAGGAAGGCACCAGAATGACGTCGTTATGGAGTCGCCTGATGGTCGTCTCTAGCGACGCCTGGTTGAACTGATGCTGGTCTAGGACAAACGCCTCAAGCCGCTTCTCTACAGTGACTCGGTAGAGCTTCATTGTGAGAGCGTTCAGATAGTAGTTCGGTTCGGCTTCTGGGAGCGGCAGATCATCGGGGATGAGCTGCTTTGGTAGAACAAGGCGTACTGTGGACAGGAGGCGTTCAGCGTCCGACGCGTCGGCAGGATGCAAGAGCTCCAGCACGTCACCAATGACGGCCTTCTTCGTGGCGATGAAAATGCCCCGCACATCCCGGTCCCTTTGTGAATCCGTGAGTTGTTCATGGACAATGATTCTCCAGAGGGGCGTTAGTTGGTTGGTCCAGGTCTCTCACCTCGAAAATAGCGAATTGGTGTTCGATTGATGCTCGTAGCGACGCAAGACGAGGTCGACGTTGCACATGACCAAAAGAAGAGCGAGCTGAACTTCCCGAGGTTCGGATTCCGAGGTCGGGGCGTGTAATATTTCCCCGAGGAAGTCGATGTCCTTGTAACACATAAAACTCGGTGTTGGCCCGATGTGAAACGGAGCTGCCATGGAGATCCACTCTTGCTGAGAGACGCCCAGAACGAGTGTGTGCAAGACCTGAAAGCTATCATTACACGTCATACCCTAGCTTCGTTTTTGGTGACGGCGAGAGCAGTATCGAAAAGTCTTCTTTTGATACGTTGACTCGCAATATTTCGTTGTACGCCGTGAGCACTTTTTGACGCACGTAATCGTACCTACTTCCGGCGAAGGTCGAGTGCACATCGGGGGTCATGGTGAAAACGTTGCTTCCATCGTAAAGTGGGAACACCGTTATATCGACCGGTGTGTGAAGGTCGTGCAGCAGGGACAGCTGAATCAGAACGCGAAGAACGTCCGTCGGACTCATGGTTTTCGAAATTCCGGTGGTCTCTACGAGTGCTGTCATGGTTTTCTCGGGCAGATCGGAGTCCTGGCCTAGGGTAAACAGGCAGCTTCGATGAAAGGCGGCGATATGTTTCCCGGCAGGACTTCGGAATAGACCGAGGGTGGCGGATATACGAAGCGCCTCTAAGGATTGGTTGTCTACTTTCTTTCTGTTGAGGGCGTCCATGTTGTGGCTCGCGTACTTGGTGTAAGCTCGGCAAGGGTCCAAGGTGAAATTGGCGGCAGCGATGAGCTGTGATGCCACGTCGGGACAGCAGTAACTGGTGTCGTTTCTCGGAGCATTCCCTTCTTTGTCGGTAATCACGACGAGAATCACTAAGGCGAGAGTCAGGCAAGCAAACGCCATTATCAGGCACGCTATCACGGTGACGCTCAAGATTCGACTGCTGTCGACGGTTATAGCATTGGCTGGCACTTTTTTGTTGGTTGAGACGTTCAAAGTAAGCCGGCCTGATTTGTGAGCTACGAAGAGAAAGCAGGAGCTGCAAGTCGCCATGAAAATCGAACCATATGTTATCCATGGGCACGTGACGCAGGTGACGCGCGTGGAGCACATTCGCTGTGGTCGTCCTCAGAAAACACAGAAAGAATGAAACACACGAAGGACGATCACAGACACACACAGTGAAAGAACTATGTGTGTCTGTGTTCATCCTCCATGTGTTTTTTTTCTTTCTGTGTTTTCTGTAGTTTTCAACGCGCTCTGCTACGTGTACTGGTCGTCCTCTGGTGGATTTTCGTCAAAACCCCAATAGACCTCTTGCAAAATCGAACCGATCCTAGCGGCATAGTGTCGCGCAAAGCATCTTTCACAATGGCCTCCGAGATTTTTCGCGCGCTGGCTGCGCTCCTAGTTCCGATTCGCTAATAGAGACTGTTACTGCGGGGCGCACGCATGTATGTTTGTATGTATGCTTGCGGCGTAATCTCTTTGTATCGAGCACGACCAACTTTATACTTACGACCACTTTATCTGAGCGCTCCCTACTGAAGAGCCTGCTCCCGACTGTGGGCCGAATTTCAGCGCCGCCTAGTGAGAGGCGTCCTTACTAGGCGGCACAAAAACTCGGTCCTCCTACCTCGTCAGACTTGCGATTGAGCCGCCGTGGGAGAGAGTCGTGTTTCTCGGCGCTCCCGCCGAGCTGCATGAATCGCCCCTGCCCGCCGCTCGCCCGCCCGAACCAGGACCCGAGCTACGTTTTTCCGCCGGAAAACTTCGCTCGCCACCGGAAAGAGCTGCCCGAAGGCAAGTGAGCGTCACAGCCGCATTTTTTCCGAAGCCTCCGACATCGACGCCGCCGCCGTTCCCGGCCAGTGGGAAGGCTGGGCCTACCATTAGGCCTAGCTCGCCCTGCCTTCGGCTACGATGGCTACCGCCTCCAGCACGGAACTACCGGCCTCCCCCGACACCGAAATGACACCCGATGCATCTTCGCCACCCGACGAAACGCTGACAACATCCAAGCAAGGAACTCCCGCCACCACCATCACGAACAGGCTCCCCCCAAAGAGAGCCCGCAACGAGAGCGAATGCTCCGAGCGCAGCCCGACGGATTTCGAGGACGGCCAAGATGCTTCCGCCGATTTCACCGACTCCGACAATCAGTTCCCCTGGATCACCGTATCCCGGAGGAAGAGGATCAACAAGCCGGACAAAGGCAGCAAACTACCCCGTCACGACCTGGACAAATACCAAGTCACCATCCGCCCACGGGCCCGCGTCGACGTCTCAAAACTCCCGAGCTATCTCATCGGAGAACAACTTCAAAGAGCAATAGGCGAGACCGTTCTCGAAGATCGCCTCGCCTACCGCCGCAACGGAATGACGAATACAATATCCGTCACCGTTTACGACGAACGACACCTAGCAAATCTACTTCAGCTCACGCACCTTGAGACAGGCAGCGGCAGAGTCGACGTCCAAGTCTACCGAACGGCCACCAGGGAATTCCCACGCGGGGTCGTTCATCTGACACCCGACATCCCACCGGCGAAACTCCTCGAGGGGCTTCGAGCCGACTACCATGAGATTGTTCAGGCCAGGCCGCTGGGATCCAACGGCACATACCTTCTGACCTTCCAAGGCCAGGGTGTACCCCGCCGCATCCGCGCCTGGCACGAGATCATACAAGTCAAGCCGTACCGCCCCTCCACGGTGGTCTGCAACAACTGTCACGGCCTGGGCCACAAGTCCGACATCTGCACGCAGGAAAAGCGCTGCCAGTCCTGCGACGGTCTTCTGACCGAAGGACACCGCTGTGAGTCAGTCAAGTGTCGCAACTGCGGCTCCCAAGACCACGTCGCCACCTCCCGGGACTGTCCAGAGAGGAAAAAGGTAGACTCTAGGATCCAAGCCCGTGCTCGACCACGCCCGGCCTTGAACCAACAACTGCATCGCCGGCGAATAGCAGTGGGAAACCAAGGCCAAACTCCTGATCCTCTACCACAGCAGCCAAAGTCGGGAAGGCAAGCCCAGACCCCCCATTCAGGAGACGGGCGAGCCCCGCCCTCCTCCAAGCAGACCAAAAACCCATCGCCCCGATCGACTGAAAACATTACTGACCAGCCAGCGCCACCGCAAGACACGTACGCATATAAAGCCACGCCTCGCAACTGCAGAACCCCATCAACCACGCCGCTCATGGACCAACGCAACGAGCTTCTCACCCTCTTAAGGCGGTATAAGGAGGAGGAAGCAGAGCACGCACGCATAGCTGCCGACCGCCGACGAAAAATGGCTACCCTACAAAAAAAGATAGAGGAACTGGAAGTCAATTTCCAGCCGGGCCCCCAGCATCAAGTGTCGAGCCAGCCGCAAGCTCACCCAAGCCCGCAACCACCTCTGCGAGACACGCCGCGATCACAGGCAAACCACCCCGCACCCCCTCCAGCAAGCAACAAGCAACCACAGCAGGAGCAATCCCAGCCTCCACCATCTCAAGGTGACCTCAAGTCCCAAATGCAAGTCTGGCTGCAACAAATGCAAGTACAACTCCAGCAGCAAATGCAGCAGCAAATGCAGGCCCACTTCAATCAACTCATAGCCGAGCTCCAACACTCAACCCTTGCCCCCACCCCGCCGGCACCGCCGCAGTTCCAACTACGTCAGCCCATCCTCACCGTTAATGTCCCTGGACAATAAGCCGCGGAACAAGGGGGATCCACGCAGCAGTCACACCAGCAGTCCTCATAACCAGCAAACTCAAGGCCCCGGGAAATTCATGCCGTCACTAACCTCGCCCTTGGTTCCGACACAACTTCGAATCCTACAATGGAACTGCAGAAGCCTAACCAAACGCAAAAACGAATTCCAGCTTCGACTGGCTCAACACCGACACTCGTACGACGCGATCTTGATGCAAGAAACCAACGTGAAGGACCCCAGACTCTCCGCATACAACTACTTCCACAACCCTGCGATCGAACGGAAATATACAAAGACCGGCCCTCCTGAAGCACGAGGACTGGCCACCGTCTACCTCAAGGGGACCGTACCACATGCCCAAATTGATACGCAGAAATGGTGCACACCAGACCAGGAAGTCACTGCGGTGCGCACACTCATAGACAACCATAAGCTCATCCTCGTGTCGGCGTACGTCCGCCCTACCGCCGAAGACCCCAACTTCAGTTGGATAGAAGAGTTACGAACGGTCTACCCAGACGATAGGATGGTCATAGGCGGCAATTTTAATGCGCACCACCGGGAGTGGGGCTACGACGACGATGACCAGAGAGGGGCCAGATTACTAGAAGCTTACGAGAAGGCGGGTCTCGAGCTCGCGAACGACACGCATGAAAAGACGAGAGTAGGCACCTCGGCCAACCAGCAGGACACCAACCCCGACCTAACCTTAGTGGACTCAAGAATCGAGGGGATGGAGTGGTCGGTGCTCCCCGACGCGTGGGGCAGCGACCACTACCCCATAGAAATATCGATCCGTATCAAGAACAGGGCCAAGGCCAAGAAAACTGTGGTCACAGTCCTCTGGGACAAATTCAGAGCCCTTTTACGCGCCCAAATTGACGAAAACGACATGTCGACAAAACTCTGCGCCTTGCTAGTAGCCTCCACGAGGGAAGCCTCGACCAAGAAGGAGGTGAACTGGGACAGCCCCACACCAGACACCCACCTCCTATCCCTGTGGGACCACCGCACGCGCAAACTCACAGAGTACAGAAAAACCAAAGACCGGAACACACTGAAGGAAGTGAACAGAATCACCGCCGAAGCAGAGGAATATGCACGAAAGCTCAGAGTGAACGAGTGGCTCGACCATTGCGCTTCCTTTGACCAGCGTACGTCGATACGCAAGCTGTGGCGCACCTTCCGAGGCATGCTCGGTATCACCAAGGTCCGCAACACGATAGAAAACATGGCCCTAGCCCTGGACAAGCCCCTCGAGGACGTACTTGAAGACATGGGAAAAGCCTTCTTCCCCCAACCCTCGACGACCCCGAATGCAGCAATCTACACTCTAGAACAAGCACCGAAAGACCCCCCTCCGTGGAACACCCCGATCACCCGATGGGAGCTCGAGACCGCTATTGACCAAGGGAGAATAAAGTCTGCTCCCGGCCCAGACGGCATCACCGCGAGCATGCTGCGGAACCTACCCGAAGAAGGAAAGCAGCAAGTCCTTCGCTGGTTCAACCACATGTGGGAAACCGACACCTTCCCGGACGAATGGCATGAGTCGTGGGTCACCCCGATCCCGAAAGCGGGTAAACCCCCGAACACACCGAAGAATACCCGGCCTATATCCCTGACCTCGGTAATGTGCAAGCTGTTTGAGAGGATCGTCCTAGCACGCATCACCTGGATCGCCGAGGACCGCAAGCTCTTCCACGCGGCACAAACGGGCTTCCGACAACATTTGGGTACGAGAGACAGCCTTCTACTTCTGTCTACAGACGTCTACCGCAAGGGAAGCACCTGCTCGCTAGTCGCGGTCGACATCTGTAAGGCATTCGACTTGCTACCCCACGGAGCGATCGTAAAGGCACTCCGAGAAGGTGGCATCACCCACAAGCCCCTCAACTTTGTGAAGGGGTTTCTGAAACAAAGGAAGTACTCCATCAAGACTGGCGACATATGCGGACCTCTAAGGAACAACAATATTGGTGTGCCCCAGGGCGCGGTGATCTCCCCAATCCTGTTTAACCTGACAATGGCCCCGCTGGCGTGGCGCTTGAACAAGATTTCCACCTTGAAGTTCACCATTTACGCAGACGATATCACCATCTGGACGACAAGTGGGAACCCGGCGAGGAGGGAGCAGACCCTTCAGAAAGGACTGGACACCATTGAAGCATTCCTCAAAGAGGCCGGACTCTCCCCGTCACCAGACAAAACCAGATACATGATATTTACCCGCAAAGGCCACCCAACTCACGACTTGACCTTCGGTGGTCTCCCCATCGCCCAAGCAGAGACGCACAAGATCCTGGGAGTGTTCTTCAACCAACGAAAGTCCCCCAAAGAATGGCTAACCAGGATGGCCAAGATTTGGAAACAGGGCACGGCACTGGTCCGCCGCATCGCCCAAAAGACCGGTGGTGCGAGCGAGGAGGTGGCCAAGACCCTGATACGGGCCGTGCTAGCTTCCAAGGTACTTTACGGAGCAAACTACTACAAGTTGAATAAGAGTCACTGGCGAGCAATTGAAAGATGGCAGAATGACGCCCGAAGAACTATTGCGGGCTTACCGAGACACACCAAACTGGAGGAGCTACACAGGTGCGTTCCCCTTCCCAAACTACAGGACTTAGCCAAGGACCAGCACGAACTGCACCTCGTCTCACTGCAACACACTAGACAGGGCAGGGCCATACTACGACTCCTGCGACAAGACGTGTCCACGCTTCCTAAACTCGGCCGCCCAATCCCCCCGTGGGAAATAGCAGACGTGGCCTCCAGCACACCTATACCGCGGAATATGGGCCTGGACCAACCGGAACGGCGCCGGGACTACGCCCAAAAGCACCTGACCGTCGTAACCACGAAACTGGAAGACCCCACCACCATCGTGCTGTACACAGACGCAGCACATAAGGATCTAGTCACCACCACGGCCTGGCACGATCTCCGCCAAAACAAGTCATGGAGCCGCGAAACTAAGACCGCAGGAACGCCCGAGGAAGCCGAAGCCCAGGCGATCCTTCACGCCCTGGAACACGTTACCCAAAGCCTGAACTCACCCGTGAAGACGGTGGACATTTACACCGACGCCCAGGAAGCCATACGAAGATGCCGAAAGCACGACCCCAACAGCCCGACCACCCGGCGCATTCTTGCACTCGCCAGGCGCCTCGAGAGCAAGAACGTTAAAACCACTGTACACTGGGTCCCCGGCCATGCCGGAGTGCCAGGCAACGAGGCCGCTCACCGGTCCGCGGAAGCGCTAGCAACGTTTCTCCTTTCGCGGCCACGAAGTGTGGACTCCCTGCCCGGCACTTCAGCCTACTCTGGCAGGACCGGCCCCAGGAAACAAGACGAGACAAGAGACCGGACCCTCTACGACCCTGAAGACGCAATGAGAAAGGTCAGACAAGACTTAAAGAAGAGGCTCCTGGCCTCCCTCCCGCGCGAACCCGACCCCATCCCGCTCGGCCGCTACTCCAGGAAGAAAATGGTCCTTCTGCGCAGGATCAGGACCGGCAGTGCCGTGACCCCTCACGACCGACGCAAGTGGGAACTGAGTGCTGGCAAGATCGGCAGATACAGACCGCCAGTGTCGACAGCCAGTCCGCCGGCCTCCCCGCCACAGCCGCAACAGATGCAACGCCAACATTCACTGGAACAGCCTGAGATCTGTCCCTACTGCAAAGAAACCCTAAGTGCAAACCTGCACCACCTCGTGTGGGAGTGCGGTCACTTCACCAACGAAAGAAAGAAAGCGCTTAGTCTTCTTCCACCAGCATCGAGGCCGTCCAACCTGGAAGGCTGGGCCCGGCCTGAGGGAGACTCGGCCAGAATCGCACTGATCCTGGACTCATTGCTCCTGTACTTAGAAAACACGGGCCTGGAGTCGACGTTCTGAGCACGGCCGTTCCTTCACGTCAAAGACTTCCCCAGAACCTGTTCCCTCCTCGAACCACGCCTAGGGCGACCGTTCGAATGTTTCTTCCAATAAACGTTTACTACCTACCTACCTACCTCGTCAGGTTCTCCTCTTATCCGTGGGTGCTTGCCAGCTGATCGCGCTTTCCGGTTTCAAGCGCGTTCACGCTGTAAAACGTTTTTCTCTGTGTAAAGGATAATGAAGAAGCCCAATTCAATAATGAGTTTACAACTTTACAACTATGCCGCAGCAACAAACAAGGGTCATACAGTTGACTTTCAATGGGTACCCGGACACACAGGAATTCCTGGGAACGAGTCGGCTGACGCTGAAGCAGAAAATGCGCATAACCTTGCTCCATCTGAAAACATTCCTTTCACTCGACAAGAGGCTGCAAGACATGTGGCATCATTCGGTAAAAACACTTTCCTGGGTGAATGGTCGTCCACCAAAAACTGCTACCCATACCTCCATCAAATCGACCCGGGACTAGAAAACTCTATTCCTAAAAAATTACCTCGAAACGTGGAAACTTGTTTGCATAGATGTCGCTTGAATTCTGCTTTCACAAATATTCAGATGCACAAATTCGGGTTTATTTCAAGTCCAAACTGTCTACAATGCAACGTTCCTGAAGACCTCCACCACGTCATCTGTGAGTGCGAGTTGTTTAACACTGAGAGACGCGCACTTCACGACACTATTCAGAAATTAAGTAGCGATCCATTCAGCCTAAACAAGATCCTTGGCCCTTGGAACGATCGAAAAAGCCAACAGAGCGCTATAGACGCCTTAGTGGTTTACTTAGAGAAAACAGACCTAATTAGCCGTCTTTGATTTAAATTTCTTACCCAAATAACTTCTAGCTCTTGATAAGGCAGGAAAGTTACGCTGTGTGCAATAGATACTTTATGAGGCAGAAACGGCAGTCACTGAGCCCCCATCTTTCTTTACTGTAGGAGTATCTGAATATGTGCTTCATTGTGACATCTCTTATGTGACGGTGTGAAGTGTCCGGAGACCTCACGGTTGAACTCGACAGAACACAATGTTGAATACTACAGACTGTTATACATGAAGATGGGCTTTTTAACTAACACTGTCGCATTACAAAAGCGATCTTTTTTTTTTCTATTCATTGTGTATATATTTACAAATTCTCACTATTTCTGTGATAACTGATTTTTTTGCACCAGACTATATGCGCTCTACATTTTGCTACCTTTATTTTTTCCTCTTCCCTGTCCTCTGTTATCCCACTCCCCATCCCCACACAGAGTAGCCAACCGAGACTTCTTCGGTTAATTTCTCTGTTTTTTCCTGATCATTAAATGAATGAAAATGAAAATGAGTTTGCTTTTTTTTTAGTTTGCAGAGCCAACACCAGATAGTATTCGCTGCGCCCGCGCGCCGCCAGCGCCATAGAGGCCAACACACCCTGGTGCAGCGCGGAAAAGGCAGAAAAGAATACCGAGTTCCAGGCCCCGCCACCGACGCGCCGCTGAAACTCGGCCCTACGGGAGGTGCGTGCTGGAGTGCTCCCAGATGGAGTGGTCGTAAGTATAGAGTAGGTCGTAATATCGAGAGTTTTGCCACGGCCGCTCGATTAGGACTCCTCTTGGAAGCGGCCTGCCGTATGCTTCACTCCGCCGGTAAGGGTGATAGTTCTAGAATGGAAAGTTAAGCGAGTTGGTATGAATCCATTTTGAAAAACAGCGCGAATAACACACGGATAGTCAGCGCCTCGTCCTGTGTGTTCTCTCCGTCTTGTCCGCGTGTTATTCGCGCTCTTTTTCAAAATAATAGTTCTACTTTACACCACAGTTTATCATATACAGTTTGCCCACTGTAGAACAAGCCTGTGGTAATCGCAAACCACGTGATCGAGGGCCTTGTGTGAATAAAAGTACATTCTAGAACTAAGCTCATTACATATTACTCACACAATAATAATTATATTGGTAACCTAATAATTCAAAAAGAGCAAAAGTTCCTTAAGCAATTATTTAAACTCGTAAAAGCGCCCTCTCACCACGAATGGGGTAACTAACCACATTTTATGCTTCGTTTTTATTGTTTTGCTTTTCAAGATGGCGGCCCCCATGGCATTTTGTGTACCCGGTTCTCGCGTCCGCTTGCGTTGCGCTTTCGCTTTATTGTGACGTGCGCACCACTGGACGACAATCACAGGTAATTTATTCACACAAGAGTTATTTCAAGCAGGCAAATGTTTATTTTCGCTCTACATAGTACAATTTATAAAACGTTACAAACAGCACATGCAATGATGGGGTTGCTGACGGGTATTATCGAACATACACGGTAGTACAAACAGTTTGAATGTTAACCTTCAAGCTATGTGCATAAACAATGATAAACCTAAGATCAACAAACGTAGTCTAAACACGTAGAAGTAAAGTCGCGGTAAAGGTATTTCAAAACAGCTATTCATAAACCATGCAAAAAAAAAAAAAAAAACTGCACAGACGCGACAGTTTTACATAACGAGTGCGATTACAAACCAGTTGCTTTAACAGTAACTACAGACTAATGTGGTGAATAATAAAGCTGTGCTTGGAGGTGCATTTGACCTGCCTGTCCTTTCCCCCCCTTCCCCCCGAAGATGAATGTTCAACACACCTGGGGGACATGTTCGACGACAAATGTTTCGTTTCTCCTAAAAAAAAAAACGGAAGTGATGGAAGTGAAGATATTGCGTCTGATTGGTTAGAGGCTCAAATGATGAGAGTTCCCGCTTCCGTCATTTGAGCCTCTAACTAATCAGACGCGATATTGCCACTTCCATCACTTCCCTTTCTTCTTAGGAGAAACAAGACATTTGTCGAACATTGCCCCCCTGGTCAGTTTTCTATGATATGTTGGATTTAGCCAGTCAATTTTTTCAGCACAATGTTAAGCTGTTAGGTTCGATGACAGCGCGCCTTTACAACTCTCCGTCTCCTGATCTGCCTAACGGGGCTACTGGCCCTTCGACAAACCGTAAGCACCTAGAATGCCACTTTCTGACTGCAGCATCACCATTGAACATTGTAATCCATGGAAGCAACCTCCTGGCTCAGCATTCTACACTCATCGCCCTCGCCAACCTCACCTAATCTCGTTATTGCTGATCACTGGTGAAGCACACCCGCCAGCAATATGAAAGTGAACACCTTACCTGGATTCTTGCCCGTTTTACGGCTCTCTAAAGCTATATTAACTCTCAACGTCTAAAAGAGTACGTGGCTTGGGGTCTAAACTTTGCGTTCTAGCCCTCTTCTGGGACAGAATGTGTTCCAAAACTTGCAGGAGCGTCAAAACAAGAAGAGGGCTGTTCACCTTCATATCGCTCACGGGTGTACCTTCAAACTCCGGCTCACCTCCCACCTGCCCCTGCTGTTTCCTGTCTGTCGACAATGTCGCCACTCTCCAATGCGACATTTATGATTTGTGGTTCCACCAGAAATGTGAAGATGTATCTCTCGCTTTGTATAGACGCCTCTCCTCATTATCAACCGAGTGGCTCTGTGCGCCGTGCCAGCTCCCCCCCCCCCCCCCCCCCTGGCCGATGATCTCTTTCCATTCCCTAAGCAGCACGGAACCCCTGTGTACCCCACCATCATCGCCAACTCTACCAAGTAGTCCTCCGACCCGCCTCCGGCGAGCGACATCGGCAGCGTCCACCGTTTGCATGACAACTCCGCGTTTGGCATAGTTGTCGTGTGAAAAGTGCGCGATCGGAGTCTACAGACTCCAATCCTGTTTGGTTTTCCAACATTTGCTTCCTAAAAAACAACCTTCCTGACTTTAAAGCGCTGAAGGAATCTTTCCCGAATACAATATTCGCTGTGTGTGAGACATGGCTGGACGCCTGTCTTTAGTGGGCAATTAATGGGGAATTGATCAATCTCGCACAATTCTCTTTATTCCAGCAAAACTGTCCCTCCTTGGGGCGAAGGAGTCCGTCCTCGCCATGCCATAACACCTGCCCTGCCAACGTCTCGACCACCTCACCCCTCCGGGTCTAGAAGCCATCTTTGTCGAGGTATTTTGTAAACATGAAAAGCTTCTTCTGGTGTCTACCCACTGCCCACCCTCCCTCCGTGAACAATCGTACGCCCTCCTCCAAAAGAGCCTACAGCGCGTCGACCCCAGCAAGTTCTCTGCAGTGTTCATCTGATCCACTTGATGACGTGCTATAAGACGTATTGGAAACTGCTGGCCTCACCCAACTTTATGACGTCTCATTCTACATTTCTCAAAACAGCAACGCTACATTCCTCGACCTCGTCTGCACCAATAATCCCACCTTATCCTACCGGTGCACAGTAAAATCCAGCCTACCAGGCAGTGATCGCAGTGCTCTCCTCACCAATATCCATTGTCCTAAGCGAGGTAATCAAGCCAAGAAGTTCCAGCAGTTCTAAAAAAACAATTTCCCTCATCTCAATCAGCTCATCTACCTCGCTCCCTGGTTCATTGTGCTTGATGACCCATCGGCTGACGAGGCCGACGACCTTTCACTCAACATATCAGCAATTCAGCACAAATGTGTTCACCCTAAGGATCAATAGGAGGCACGGCAGCCTTCCATAGATGACAAAGGAGGTTGCAGTCTTAATCAGACGTAAACACTGACTATTCAAAAAAGTGCCTCTAAATCCCACTCATCTTTACCAAGCCCACCAGGCACGTACCGAAGTCAAGCATCTCATTCATATCTCCCATAACGATTACCTACCAACTAAGAGCAAAAGCAACCTGCCAGCCCAAACTCTTGGGCATGTTTTCACTATAAAAAAAATGTTCCACGCGCCGGTCTTCACACATCACGGCAGGCCCTATTCTAGTCTTGACGACATAGCACAGCTCTTCTCTTACCACATTTCTCGGGCTGTAGCATTACTTGACCCTACCGCACCTAACCTTTGTCCCACCCAACCCACAACTCAGCCAATCAAGGCCACACCAGCAATCACACTCTCTTCCATAGTCATTCTTCAAAGTGAAACCTACGAAGCCCTCGCCTGTGACAACTCCTCTCAACGCCCTGGGTCAGACAGCCTCCACCCTGCATTGCTGCATTGC